TAAAGTGTGTGTATTAAAATTTTTAACAATGCGACAAGTTTAATACTAATAATTTCCAAACAAGAAGGGGTTGTTTTACGACACATGGTACATAAATATTTAAAAATTTTATATATAATACAAAGAAAAAAAACATTGTATACTTATTTTATGTTAAAAAATATAGTTGACTAATTTTATAAATAATTTACTTTTTTATTTTTTAGCTACAATATGTTTTTAATCAATAACAAAATAATGGATTAATTTTAAATTTAATCATGATGTTAAGGTTTAATTTTTAAAACTATAAAATATATTTCAGACATATTATATTGAATTCTTATTATTTTCAAATGTAAAATTTAAGCAGGAAACCCGTTATTTTCTGTTAATTTATAATTAAATTTTATTCATAAAATTACAGGCTACGTTGAAAAAAAATGTCAGTTTTTGGAGATAAAATTAATGCTGATATGAAGAGATACTTAATATGTTATATAAAAATTAATACTATTAATGATATCACGTGTGATGTGCAAAAAATTAGATACAGAAATTTACCAATTTTTAATGCGATTTTTCACATTGCAAAGAAAAATCATGCATGCTACTCAAAAACATAGTTAACCTAAATCATTTTATTAGAAGAAACGAAATCGAGCAAATCCAACCAGGAAAATGACGTTTTGAGCGTGGGAATGGAAAGTGCTATTTTCGTTCTAAATCAGGAGCGGCATAAGTCGCCGAGTGTGTACATGCGGGTCTGGAGCGATTAATGCAACATAATTAGCTGCCTTGTATTTCCTTCTGTGCTCACGCATATAATGAGCCCTGTCATTATGCAAAAGAGGATTACCCCTGAACGCATAAAGACGTCGGGAAGAAGAAGAAGAGCAGGTCAGAAACTTGGCGGAAACGAGGCCAACGGAACGGCAATCAAGGAGGAAGAAAGCGGCTCATCACGGAGAAAGACAAATATTTGCCAGGCCGATTATGCAATGCATTCACGTTTACGTGCTCGTAATGCATGCAGATGGAAAGATGTAATTGGAGTTGCACTCGTGACACACAACCAGAGGGAATTTCTACACTCGCGCGGCGCGTTTGGCAAGTGCATTTTGCGAATTACTTTGGTGCAATGTTAACTGTGCATATTTGCACTTGGTTTGATGTGCAGTGCAGATGTGTTTATCAATTTATCAAAGGGGCTTTTGTTAATTAGAGTGGTACTATGCAGATGGGTTTCATGAAAGGAATTTAATCCTTTAATAATGATGCCGCATAGAAATATCAAATTTTCTATTAAAAATTCAGTGCGTGATTGTGTCAGTTTTTATGCAAAACTTTGTTAGTTTTATGGAATTTCTAGCTATTTAGTAATATATTTTCTCTAAGTTTTGAAGAATATGGTTTACGTTATTTGCGAGAAGAAATTTATGAAATTTTGTATACAGCCTCCAGTGATTAAGGCTAGTTAAAAAGGTAAGAAATTGTTTCTACTAATGCATTATTTATTTTGATCATTATATTCAATTGAAGTTCAGATCTTTTAGATGAACTAAAGAAAATTAAATAAAAAAGCAAACGATGTTTAATAAGAGAATTATTATATCTAAACCAATACAAAAAATTGTTATCTTCCAAAAGGATTTTCTGATCCACAATTAATTTCCAGTAAATTCAATTTACATTAATTTTTCTCTCCTTAAAATTTTTCTTAGTCTACTATTATTTCATAAATTATTGATTATCCCATAATAAAACAAAAAGGAACCATAAAAACCTCACAAAAAGCTTATTTAAAACATTTTTTAATCCTTCTTTACTGTACATTTTCCATCATGTGTAGATAAACGTTGATTAAGCTAAATGATCATTTGTTCATGGTCTTGCGTTGGTCAACTACTGCCATTTTTTTTTTCAAATTTCTTTACCAGCTAAACCGTGATTGAAGAAAAAATCTCCAACAAAACTCCCAATCCGGCATGAATTGGAAGTCTGTAAAGACATGCACATATGTTCGCCCTCCAATAAAACCTGCCGTGCGATTTGAGAATAAAGTGAAATTCAAGCCCGCTTTTTCTCTTTCTCTCTCTACGGATTGAATCGTTGGGCCAAAAATAAATATCCGCGACGGCGGGATCACAAAATATCCCACCCAGCACCGCATAGGTTGCGGCTCTTGAGCCTGTATTTCTGCACACCCACCATGTTTATGCGTGGAAATGTGGACGTATTCTGCTTCATAAAATTCTTTGTGTGTATATTCTGGTGAACAGCAAAAAGGTCAAGCCTTTACAACAGCCACACAGCATGCACGACGGGCCAAAAGAAAAAATGGAGCGAGCGTGGCGCTCTGAAATTACTTTACACAGGCAGCGTGCCCGGCTGAATGTTTATACGTTCAGAGATGTATTCTTCGTATTTAAATGAGCTTCTGGCCAAAGCTAGTTTTATCATAATAACGTACTCCAGGAATAACTTTGCACAGAGAAATAGCACTGCAGAACTTTAATAGAGATATGCGCCGTCCGTGCAACTTTCTTTTTATTTAAAGAGTAAGTTTTGTGTGTATGTTGTCAACAAGAAGCATGGATTGGATTAAGACTTTTGGAAAAGTACATTTTGATCAAGACCGCCTGCTGAAAATACATTTAAAGTAGCGAAGATTAAGAAGTTTCAAATTAATCCAAGTTTAATTTGCTGTAAAATTAATTTTAAAGAGGTTTATTTTAGGTTCTTAAGTGTTGTCCGTGACTTCTTGTCAACAACATGCACTTTGTGAGCATGATTTTTTTTCGCGTCGAGGCCAGTTATTACTATTTGTATTTTATAGTTTCCACGTAGCTTTGTTTTTAATTTGCGTTTTCACGTCGCCCACAATACAAATGTGCACACACAACTCTTTCTTCGCGGTGGCAATAAAGTACAGCGCAGGGCGTGCAAGGAATAATTTTTTAACGGCGTCGCACAAAGAAGCACACAAGGCAATGCAGCCAGTTACTTTTGCACTTCTTCTTGCCACAATTCAAATTGGACGACAAAAGAGGATAATGGCGCGCAAGCGTGCAGGAATCTTTTGGCCATTACTCATCGTATAATTCATTGAAGATTGCGCTGCACCAGCACAAGTAGTCAAGTTTTTGCTCGTAAAATGCAAGCTTGACTGAAATAATTCAACTGTGCTGAACGATCTGATTGCATTATGGTGCAACTTTGCGAGTTCTCTGGCTAACATTCTTATATGACTTTCTTCTTCTTTACATTAAAGTTGCAATTGCATCATCAAAGTTTTAAATTTTGGTTATCAATAAACATCACTAAAGACATACAAAAAATATAGAGTTCAGCATCGCAAAAGGGTATACTTTAAAAGAAGGCAAATTGCATTAATTAAACTTAACAATATTTAAGATAAAAAACAAAAAGCCAGGCGTATAATGAAGTAAATTTATAACTTGTTGAAACACATTTTTCGTATAAAAATTATTTAAATTAATATTACAATCAAAACCTTAATATTGAGAGATAAACACTTTCGTCACTTTTTTTAATTTATTTATATTAAAAATGGAGGCAATGAAAGCAATTATTATTTAAATTTATTTTAAATTACTTTTTTATTTCAATTCCCTGTAAATATTAAACAATTAACTTGTTGCACAAATTTTAGAGCTAACCTCGTCATTCTATATGTGCTTCAAACGTTTTCCAATTTCTTCAGATGAAAATTATGAATATACCCCTATGAATTATAAAAAAAAAATCATTAAATTTTCACCCATAGTTTTGATTATTTTAAAAGAAGAATTTTATTTTCATAGTGGTATTGATATTATTTAAAGTATGTTAAATCAAGCAAACAATTATGAGACAAAATATATGTAGATAGTTCAAATAATTTGCCACTAAATAATAAGCAAAAGTTGGTGAATCGAGGCTACAAAACTCACAATCAGTTCTCATGCGAAATTTAAGGTTGTTCCGAATGCGCTAAAGCGCGTTTTACTTTATTCAACAGTGTGTGAGTGTTTAATTAAAATGACTTCATACCAACGTTTTAATTGTGTTTTAAAACAGCATTTACGGCGCAGGAAAGCAATAGTTGGCGTCGAGGCCCAGGAGACTCTCCTGCAGGCATATTGCGTAGCGCGCAGCCGATCGGCGGAAAGTTTATTTTTCAGCACACTTGATCGAACCATTTGTAAGCCAGTCAGGTCGAGTTGGCGCGGAAAGCCTCAAACACGCGTAAAACGCCGGCATAAATTATCCCCTAACAGAATAACCAATGGCACTTGTAGAAATGCAATTTATCATTTCGAGCGCGGTGGCGAAATCACGCCGTGGCGAAGAAGAAGAAGTGCTCATTTGCATATCGGACGAATTTGCATTGAGGTGAAAAACTTTGCTGGAAATTTCTGCTGTTTCAGCTGGCAAATGTATATATTTGTGCTACTTTGATTTAAGCGTTCGAATTATTCAGTCGGGTTAATGGTGTTTGAGCAGAAATAAAATGCTCGTTCTGAATTTTTATTTTATCTCCGCACAACCACCGCTCTTGATGTGTGCCAAAGTGGAGCGCCACCGCGGCGGCTCATTTTCATGCACAATAAACGTAAATACGGATGGTTTTGCATTTAAGAGTCTACTTTGGCGATAACGGGGTATATTTTTCTGGTTGCGCTTTTCCTCCAATCGAGACGACGATTTTTTTATTGGGAAAAAGCAGAAAAAACGAGTCACTCGCCTTTAATGTCGATCACAAAATGCTCTCTGAATATAGGGAATACATACTACTATTGATACCGCAACGGCGCAACCGCTTTTATCCGAATGTTTCTTGAAACGAAATACATGAAAATCGACATTTATACAACCAAATGCTATATCGGATACTCGTCTAATTTCCCTTTGCTTATAAATAATAAGCTGCTTATTTCTTTTGACCCCTGCGGAACTAGCATAGTTACAAGGGAGAAAACAAAATAAGCTCAAAAAGAAAAAGCTTCTTTACATACCAACTGACTGAATGCCTTTGACCTTTGATGGTGCGCGTTGCGAGTGATCTGAAACAAACAGGAAAATCCTTGTTTAATAGTCTGTTTTTTTTTGTCGTTTTTTTTTTATCGGTTTTAACAGGGGCAATGAGCCGAGGGAAAAATATCGCGTCAATATTTACCCTGCTGTGCGTATATCAAATATTTGTTAGCTTTCCGGCCTCTTTTGCAGTTTCAATAAACGACCGGATTTTCAACCATCATTTGCTTAAACTGACAAAAATCCTTTTTTAATCAGCCCGACCAAACAACATCCCACAGGAGTTCGCAACACCACTCTGATTGCCCTCCCGTTTGCCCAGTGGAGGCAGGTTAAATGAAAACAGCAGGCCGTGTTAAACAAAGAAGTGTTGGAAACGCAATGGGAAAATATTATTCAGCCGATCGGTTCGCCGGCGGATCGATTGCCACCACTATCTGCGTATCCAAAGCAGCGCGACGAGCAAATATTTTCCATCGCAGAAACGCGCGTGAGTCCGGCGAAGCATTATTATTAGTTTCAGCACACAGTAGACAGCAATCAATCACTTTCTCCCTGAATCGCAAAACTAACTTTAATCCAGGCCACTGGCATATTCCACTGATTAAGCGAGGGGCGTTCTGAACAACAATGCTTTCGAAACAATGGCTGTTATTATTATTGTAATTTGGCCATAATAACTGATTGATCAATAGCTCGACGGTCCTTGCCGAAAGAGAGAAGGGCAATTTTGAGCCCCTCCACTCCCTGACATCGACGCTCTAAGCGCGTGGCCCGAGCCCATAATCCTCTGAATATTATTGTGCCTGGACACAACCCTCGGTTTTATACAAGTGGAAAATGAGCATCAGCGTTGGATTTCAATTTTGAACGACAAATACGCTCGATTGGATGACAATCCTGCCAATGGCTTTATCGAGGATTATACTTTTCGAAACATGTATATCAAGCGATTTTTTTCACTATAACAAATATTTTTTACATGCTGTAAAATTTTTCTTTACCAAAAAATATTTAAAAGTTCAGGTTCTGGATTAAAAAAAAGTAGTGAAAACTTTCCTCAAAATACAAGCTTAATTTTATGTGCCCTTATTATTAATAAAGTGTAAGGCAATTTCTTAAAGCATTATTTTCAATTCATGACGGGACTGATTTTAAAAAACAAATCCACTTTTTTATTCTTTATAATATTATAATTTAATATTTTGAAGAATAAAAAAATTTAAAATTTGTCAAATGTAGTTACGCTTAATTATAATTCCACGTGAAATTCAACAAATTATTTTAACTTGTATTCATTTAAAAAAATTAAAGGCTGAACAAGACACTTTAATGAATTATTATTGTGTCGGTCTTCTGAATCACTAATTTCAATGTGTAACCCTGAAGCTGCTGTAACGGCTGGTATTTAAGTATATTGTAGGGTTTGGGGTATGTAAACACACCTACCCTCATTAGAGTTAAATATGCAATTTACTGATTAAACACCGTTCGTCAACCAAGCAGAGTTATATAATGTGTGCGTAACCAGAGCTTGCTTTAAAGAAGAAAGAGAACTGCCGAGCCGACACTATAGGAAAGCTAGGGGCCTTGCTTCATGTGTTGTACTCTTTTTGTAGCGACGCAAGCCTTTTGGGGCCGAAAGTTTGACATTGCAGCACAACTTGATCTTGGCTAAATTGGACACACGGCGTGCCGTAGACCAAGTGAGAGCAATTTATCGCAGGGTGCTGCTATAAACTTAAAGGGCGAGCTTTTTAAACAGTTTAGCCCAAATTAAACAACTGAAAAGTTTTATAATTTGTTGCATAAAAATATGAATGAACCGAGGTTTATTTTGGAGATCAAAAAACCAGTGTTTATATTGTTGTTTCTGAATATTTACATGAAATTTTAATGATTTACTTAAAATAAACATGAAGTGAGAAAAATTGAATTGATCTTGCATTTCGGAGCAAACTAATTTCGCGCAAATTAATTTATAAGCAGAATGAACTGCTCATTATTATGTGTAAAAAAAAACACAGATGTGGTCTTTTGCTAGCATAAAAGTTTAAAAAAGGAGAAGCTAAAAGGTGCTGGGAAATTGTTTAAGGAAGGTGAAAATTTTCTGGCTCGTCCGCGTCTAGCACGATACTTGATTCAGCGAAAATTCATTGATTGCCCATTAGCAACAGGGCGTCCCCAAACCAGCAAGAGTTATATGGGTCTGGTCGAGCCAAATTCAATTTGCGGGACGTATAGTGCGCCAGGTTGGACCCTCACTAAGTGCGTATAATTAGGTGGGCTCCGTTTCAAGGGATAATATGAAAATTCGCCTGTGGCGGAATCATGATGAAGCTCTATGGCTCTCTTTTGGTGGCGCGTTTTATGGCCGAGGGGAACAGCGCAGTGTGTGGAATTTTTTGACGTTTTTCCTGTTGCTCTCCCTCACCTGGTTTATGTGCGTTCATATACGGTGGCGCCGAATGTGATTATGGTGAGCGTTAAGGGTGAAATTTGGGGGTGCATATGCGCTCCTTTGCCCTCGTGCAGGGGAGAGCAAAAATTGGCTCTGCGGACCGCAATATGAGCTTGTTAGCAAACGTGTATTCTGCTTGTGTTGTGCAAAAATTATTTTCGCCAGAAGATGACGAGAAAAAAATTAAATTTATTAAAACCACCCTTATGAAAAAATTATGCTTTTTTTTAAATTTGATTACTAGTTTAATTTATTCTTCTCCACCAATACAAAAATTTTAAAACGGAAAAAAGAAGAAAGGGTTTGCAACTAGCAGATATCTGCTAAAAGCCCAACATCAAAAGAGACTCAGCCGCCGTGATAAACCCACACTATCGAGAGAGAAAAGACAAAATCACAAACATTTTACAATTGTGATTGATTTAAAAAAGTTTCTAATAATAATAAGTTTATGACAAAATTATTTTTAATTAATTGTTTCAAAAGTATTAGCAAATTTCTTGCTAGTGGTGTGGCCGTTTTGTCTAATAATTCATTTTTTTTTTTCAATGTATTTAACAATTCAATGCAAACAATTTTGTAAAAATGTGGACAAATAAACAACAGTAGTTTGGAGTTTCAGTAGGCATTCCTCTCTTTTTCAAATTTTCCATTTCTTTTTTTAACAATTTTGAGAAGATCTAATAAAATTAAATTGTCCAGAAATCTCGCATTCCCGAGTGAATTTCTCAACATTTATCGAAACGCATAAATTTATTTACTCATTGTCATAAATTATTTTCCACATTATTTTTTATTTGGACAAAGAGCGATACTAATGGTGTGATTTTTTTCAGCAATAAACACCCAAGTGCCACACTCCATCTCAAAGAAGTGAGCGGCTGCGGACCGAGAAACGGAATCAAAATTACTGATGCGATTTCACGCCGCAGTAAATTCCTCGGCTGTTCTCTTTGGTTTGCTTTCTGGAGAGTAAATCAAAAGCGACTTGCGGCAGTGGCCGCTGCCTTCTGCAACACCAGAGTAGACGGACAAACACACTGCGCGATGCAAGCCGCTTGTTGTTGGTGCCGAACAAATTGGGTTAGCCCACAAAGTTAGCCACTCGAAATTGAATTGTTCAAGTCGCTCCACCAAAAATAGCTCGCCGCACAATCACTGGGCGAAACGCAACAAAAGTATAGTGCGAGTAATCAGCGCGCCACACAGCTGGGCGCTCCGAATGGAAACGGAAATCCATCCATAAGGCGTCGGGCGGCGCAATTTCAATTTATATTCGCACTTTGGCCAAACCTCTCGTTAAACCGGAAAAAACAATTTGTTATTGAGAATTGTCAGTGACAGTGGTGAATGGAGCGAAGAAGAAATAGAGCCCTATGTACAAGACACGATCCGCAAAAAGAGGCCAAAACGCATCCCGAGCCTTTTTTCTATTACCTCGGCGGCGCCTTGGCCGAATGGATTTGGATATTGGCTCATTATTTTCTTCTGGAACGTCGCACTCCAAGCCCTGTGCCAGTGTGTGAGTCGCACGTGCCCGAAATGGTTTCTGTCTGACTATGGTTGGTGTGAAGTCTCGCCGGAAAATCAGAAATTCGCTAGCTAAGTTCAGCGATTTTGTGCGATTTCAGATCCAATTAGTTCCGTGCAGACAAGCGAATATAATTTGAGCCGGAAATAGAACTGAACTGGTTTGATCTCAAACAGATTTATTCTCATGATGAATTTAGTTAGTTTAATAACTTTTTACCAATTCATTATATAGTTTTAATTTTTAGAGTCACAATGAGTTAGTAAAAATGTAAAATACACAATTTAAAATGCGAAGTAAATTTAAGTTTCATTTACTTCAAATTTAGATTCTTGTATTAGATAGCAGAACACTTTTTTTAAGCTGTTTTAAAAAATCACACAATAATCCTACTTTTAAATGTAGATTTATCTCACTTTAAAAGCACGTTGTAAAAAGGGTGTTTGAGGAATAAGAGAACAAAGCGGGGTCTGCGCACAAAACCGTCTGCTTTGTGAGTCGACGCTGCACATAAATTAACTGCATCAAAGTGCAATCGCAGAAAGAAAAATACATTTTCCGTCTTGCACTCCAGCTGGCGTACCGGAACTAGAGAAAAGAAATTGCAAAAAGGCCAATGCAAGAGTATAATACGCTTATTTAGCCGCGCCGCACAGCTGCTTGTTTAGAATTTAATCTGGCGTTTTACATGCGCTGAACGAGTACTGAGGAGCGGTACATTACGCGCGCGACATGCCCTACTTTGTTTTAGCTTTAACACTGGCTGCCTGCGTGTCCTTTCTGAGCGGCCCACGCGCTTTTTCTTATCACAAGCAGACGCCGTTAGCAAGTCCAGGAAAGTAGACATTTTGCTTTAAATAGGATAATTTAATGAAAGTAATGCAGCTTTTTTAAACCTCTTTTTTATGGGATAAAAGAGGTGTAATAAAACAGAATGAGTTAAATAGATACAGAACTGAACTTGGAAAAAATTTCTATTCAACGCGTCTTCATTTTCACTCAAAAGTCCTTTAACATAAGATAATATATTTTTTTGT